AAAGCCCTCTCTGATATGAAAACTGCCATTAGAACTCTCCCAGTCTTCACAAGCCACCAGTTAATTGTTTCTGAGACAGAAAGCAGGCTTCTACAACTCAGAACACATTTCTAGAGGCTGTAAAACAATTAAACAAAGGTCATAAAAAGGAACTAGTCATTTATTATAGGTGCAAAGACAGAAAATAAAATACTGACTGGGCTTTTCTATACAAAACGTTCATGGTAACTTAACACCAAAATTACAGTTTTAGACTCTCAATGAATCTATGGAGCTAGTGACAGATAGTGAGTGTCTAGCTAGAAAACGACTTTTAGTGGAAACACATGTAAGTATTTGTGTTGTAAACTTCTTATTCAATTTATGATCTGAATAACTTTTAGTGAACTTTTTAAAACAAGGGGGGAATGAATGGAAAAATCATTTGATCTATTCTCCTAGAAAAGGTGAAAACTAGAAAAAAAGAAAACTAGGAATGAAGACAATACACCAGAAGAAAAAAGCAAGATTAGGAGGAAGAAGGAGAAGGACAGCAGATTAGAGTAATTTAGAAATTAAGAGAGCAACTTAGAAATTAGGCTTTATCCCAAGAAAGCAGGGATGGTTCAATATAAGGAAATCCATCAATATAATCCAGTATATAAACAAATGCAAAGAAAAAAACCACCTGATCATATTACTAGATACTGAGAAAGCATTTGATAAAATTTAACACCCCTTCATGGTAAAAGTCTTGGAAAGATCAAGAATCCAAGGCCCATACCTAAACATAGCAAAAGCAATATACAGAAAACCAGTAGCCAACATCAAACTAAATGGAGAGAAACTTGAAGCAATCCCACTAAAATCAGGGACTAGGAAAGGCTGTCAACTCTCTACCAACCTATTAAATATAGTACTGGAGTTCCTAGCCAGAGCAATTAGGTAACACAAGGAGGTCAAAGGGATGCAAATTGGAAAGAAAGAAGTCAAAATTTCACTATTTGTAGACGATATGATAGTATACATAAGTGACCCCAAAACTTCCACCAGAGAACTCCTACAGCTGATAAACAACTTCAGCAAAGTGGCTGGATATAAAATTAACTCAAACAAATCAGTAGCCTTCCTCTACTCAAAGGATTAACAGGCTGAGAAAGAAATTAAGGAAATGACACCCTTCACAATAGTCACAAATAATATAGAATACCTTGGTGTGACTCTAACCAAGCAAGTAAAAGATCTGTATGACAAGAACCTCAAGTCCCTGAAGAAAGAAATCAAACCAGATCTCAGAAGATGGAAAGATCTCCCATGCTCATGGATTGGAAAGATTAATATAGTAAAAAAGGGTATCTTGCCTAGAGCAGTCTACAAATTCAATGCAATCCCCATCAAAATTCCAACTCAATTCTTCACACAGGTAGAAAGAGTAATTCTCAATCTCATTTGGAATAATAAAAAAAAAAGATAGCAAATCTATTCTCAACAATAGAAGAACTTCTGGGGGAATCACCATTCCTGACTTCAAGCTGTACTACAGAGCAATAGTGATTAAAAACTCCATGGTATTGGTACAGAGACAGGCAGGAAGACTAATGGAATGGAATTGAAAACCCAGAAATGAACCCACACACCTATGGTCACTTGATCTTTGACAAAGGAGCTAAAACCATCCAGTGGAAAATAGACAGCATTTTCTACAAATGGTGCTGGTTCAACTGGAGGTCAGTATGTAGAAGAATGAAAATTAATCCTTATACAAAGCTCAAGTCCAAGTGGATCAAGGACCTCCATACAAATCCAGATACACTGAAACTAATAGAAGAGAAAGTAGGGAAGAGCCTTGAATACTTGGGCACAGGGGGAAAGTTCCTGAACAGAGCACCAATGGCTTATGCTCTAAGATCAAGAATTGACACATGGAACCTAATGAAATTGCAAAGCTTCTGTAAAGCAAAGGACATTGTCAATAGGACAAAGCAGCAAGCAACAGATTGGGAAAAGATCTTTACCAATCCTACATCTGATAGAGGACTAATATCCAATATATACAAGGAACTGAAGAAATTAGATAATTAGTTAATCAAATAACTCTATTAAAAATGGGGTACAGAGCTAAACGAATAATTCTCAATTGAGGAAACTCAAATGGCTGAGAAGCCCATAAAGAAATGTTCAGGATCCTTAGTCATCAGGAAAATTCAAATCAAAATAACCCTGATATTCCCTCTCACACCAGTCAGAATGGCTAAGATCAAAAACACAGGTGACAGCAGATGCTCGCAAGGATGTGGAGAAAGAGGAACACTCCTTCATTGTTGGTGGGATTGTAAGCTGGTACAACGACTCTGGAAATCAGTCTGGTGGTTCCTCAGAAAATTGAACATAGTATTACCTGAGGACCCAGCTATAGCACTCCTGGGCATATACCCAGAAGATGCTCCAACATACAACAGGGACACATGTTCCACTATGTTCATAACAGCCTTATTTATAATACCCAGAAGCTGGAAAGAACCCAGATGTCCTTCAACAGTGGAATGGATACAGAAAATGTGGTACATTTACACAATGGAGTATTACTCAGCTATTAAAAACAATGATTTCATGAAATTCTTAGGCAAATGGATGGAACTGGAAAATTTCCTGAGTGAGGTAATCCAATCACAAAAGAACACACATGGTATGCACTCAACTGATAAGTGGATATTAGCCCAAAAGCTCACAATACCTAAAAGGAATGGGTGGATGGGTGGAGGCACACCCTCATTGAAGTAGGAGGAGGGGGAATGGGATAAGGGGTTTTGGGAGGGGAATGGGAGAAGGGATAACATTTGAAAGGTAAATAAATAAAATATCCAATAAAATAAAAAGATAATGGACCTGGCAATCGTAGTCGAGCAGTTGAGACTTTTTGTCAACAATTTACTATGGGCATTCCTTATAATACTCAAGGACAAGGTATTGTGGAAGGGGCCCATGGAACTTTATAACAATATCTTCATAAAATAAAAAAGGGGGAGGTATATACCTGAACACCCTGAATTTATTTAAATCATACACTTTTTATTTTAAATTTTAAAAAACTTGGATGCCAAGGAACTTTCTCCTGAATGTCTATGGCACCCTTCAACTAGGCATACTTATGCCTAGGCGAAAAGTAAGGATCCACTTACAGGAATAAGGCATGATCCCGACCAGATATCTAATGTAGGGAAGAGGGCATGTATGTGTTTTTTCTGCAGGATGCTATAGGAATATGGCGGCTGCCAGAATGATTGGTGAGACATGCTGATGCTGAGACAAAGAATGAAGCTGACCTGTGAGCTTGCTGAGTGCCCTGACAAGGGTGACTGGGAAGCTGTATTGGACATAAGTTCCTGACCCACCTATGCTTGCCTATATCCCAGATGGGGCAAGCTGCCTTGCCTCAAGTTTTTAGACCTTGTGGGACAGAGAATCAAAAAGAGAAATTATAATGTCTCTTGTATTTTTCTCAAAAGTGACCAGCTATTAGGACTCAATCATGTACTGGTCTAGAAATCAATCTAATACTGGAAATAACAATCTTCATTTGGAAGGCTGGATCTGGACATTTTCAGAGACATATTTGGAAGTTAGCTGCAGTTCTCTATGATGTTATGATAGCAAGAGATAAAGTTGGGACAGAATCTGGATTTCAAACAAGGGTTAGTGCATGTTTTAAGGCTCTTTTAATTGTCAAGCTAAATTTGGTTTTGTCTCTTCTACAGTATTTATTGTAAATTGCATTGACTGTATAGTTTCCAATTGTGTTAGTGTGTTGAAACCTGGCATGTCTGTTATGGGGCTCTATCAACCAGCTTTTGTCTTACTGCCCTGAGTATTAAAAACCCTTGATTCTCAAAAAAAAAAAAAAAAAGCTTTAAAGTGCTGGAAGAAGTGAGTTGGGCTTTAAGCAGAAGCAAGATAGTAGTGGGCTTGATTATTGCTGGTATAACAGCTTTAATTTTATTAATTGCTAGCACCACTGCTTCTGAAATAGCATTGACACAAGGAGTTAAAACAGCTATTTGTGTTAACCATCTAGCAAAGATAGTTACTAATGTATTGAGTATACAAGAGGATTTATATAGGTCTTTGGAACAACAGATTGATGCTCTATAACCGATTCAAATTATCTGAAGGAGGTTCAGGGTTCAAGAGTTAGGAGCCATCCCAAGTGTCATAACAAGTATCATTGGAGTAGTGTTACTTCTAAAATTTACAATGATTGTCATTATAATTATAAAAATGTTTAAAGACACCTGTATGGCATTTGGCATAATCCTAACATCTCTCTGGGTGTTTTAACTTTGCATAGTGAGATTATGAATTTAAAGAATGCTGCTCTGTTGAGCTTTGATGCTGCAGATAATGCCAATAAAATTATCAATGGCTTGACGTCAGTATTTCCGTTTTGGTCAAACCTCAGGAATGGCATACATAGCTTGATCATGCTAGCCCTTCTTGTCCTGGGAATACTTTTATCCCTGCCCATCATGTTAAAGTTTGTATCTAACTACATCAACAGGCTGGCAGCCAAAGTACATGACTTGAAACTGACTCCCCCACCCTAGACAGTGTTATTAGTTTAACAGGCTGGCAAGCCAAGGACGGGTAAGATTCTGTACAGAGCCTTACCAATCTAAGACATAAGTGCATTGCTGATGAGAACGAATATTTCATGATCAGGTAAGGAAGGCTTTTTTGTCAGAACAACCTAACAGGCACAGTTTGGTTTATGCAATAAAAAGGGGGAGATGTGGAGATCTTTTGGGGCTGTATGGCAGGAATCTGACATTGGCCAAGGATAAGAAAATGGGCTGCTTGGAAGGAATCTGACATAGGCCAAGGACAAGGAAATAGACTGAAGGCAGAAATCTGACATTAGGCTGGAACAAAGAAGTAATTTCAGGCAGAAATCTAAATCCTAGGCTAGAACACAGAAGAAGTTTCAGGCAGGAATCTAAATCTTAGACTAGAACAAAGGAGTAGGCTTCAGTCATGAAAATGACTTTGGGCTAGGACAGGGAAGTAGGCTCACATATTTTCATCATCCTGATAAGCTCTTAGAAATAGTGATCATAGGAGTGATCACGGGACTCTGTTTGTTGTCGTGCATGTTCTTTGACTATTTGTGTTTATTGTCTTGCTTGTTCCTTGACTATTTTCATCTATTGTATTGCTAGTTCCTCAGCCTAGAACTGACCTTAATACTTACATGTAATTTAAACAGTATAAAGGCAAAAAAGGAGGAGGAGGGATGGGGTAGGTATTAATGGAGGGGCTGGGGAAGGGGGATGGCATCTGAAATGTAAGTAAATAAATTACTAAATAAAAAAAATGAGAAAAAAAAAAAGAGAGAAACAGCAATGCTGGGTTTTAATGAGGCTGTGAGGGGCATTCTCATGCTGTGAGTAGCACGGTCCTGCTCCCTGGCACAGTGTGTTCTTAAACCTTTCCAATGTGCCAGCTCTGGTAGACAGTTGTACTACTTCTAGAATTTTTGATTCCCAAGAGTTAATCAGCAATGCACACACATCACACAGCTCCCATTAATTCCTTGTTGTTTTCTGATTGATCTTTCTGCCTCTGAGAACAAAATAAGATCACAGCTACAGATGCCATTGGCAACTCACCACCTTCCCTGGGACAAGAACGCAAAACCAGCTAGTCGGATGGTGGCTTGACGGTCGGCCACTGGCTTATGGAAGCACCTCTCACAAATAAAAGTGCTCGTTTTTTATAGAGTCACAAGTTCATCATCTGCTGTCCCATTTGGGAAAAAAAAACCAGCAATTACTTGAGATGCACTTTGGCCTGTCAACTCGGAAGGGAGGGTATTTATTGAGCATTTGTCAGCTTGTGCCACCACAGCCCAGTGAGCATTTTCTATATGCCAAGAAGCTACAAGATCTTGTTTTCTCTCTTACCACGCAGCCACAGTAGCTGTGTTTTACTGACAGAAACATTAAGGTTTAGTTTAAAACACCAACATGGAACACAAGTAGGTCTGCTTTGGGGCAACGACCCATGAAAATTTTGCCAGCAGCACATGGAAGGTTCTGATCAGCTCAGCACACTAACATGGCATTGATTGTTTAATCAGAATCAATACAGCTGTTCTGTTTGCTCTTCATTAAACGGCTTTGAGTGGAAGGTTGTATGACACCCACACTCAGTAACCTCAGATCTTTCTCCAGGTACATAATAATAACCCATCATTCAAACAAGAAGGGGAATTAAAAAAAAAAAAAAAAACCCTGTATCCACACAGGGCAGAGTGGAACAGGCTGCTGCAAGGACCCTTGCTCAAGGCAACATCCTTTAAGCAAGTTCTCGTTCAGGGAACCTGGACATGTAATGACTGGCTGAGGACAGACTGCCCTGTCCTAGAAGCTTAAACGTTCACCTTAAATGATCCCCCTTGTGCATTACAAAAAATAAACACGCAAGCCTCAAAAAAAAAAAGAGCATATAGTCTGATAGGTTTTTCCCCTTTTACTTCTCCTTAGGAAAAAAAATTAGAGTCCTTTTAAAAGATGTCTCATGGTTTCTCTCTTCCCCTCCCCATCTTCCTACATGGTTCAGGGTCAAGTCTACTCTGGGCTCTCCCAGATGTCCCTGACTCTTGCTATGCTCTCCTACATATCTACAATAAACTTTTTCTTTCACCATACCTAGGAGAAGTCATGATCTTTCCTTTCCTTTTTGTTTCCTTTCTCATTTAGTCCAGCTGATAGAAATCTGCAAACCACATCCTATAGTGATTTCTAGATCCTCAGAAAACCTGTTACCAGGTGTAATTCGAGAAACACTCACAGCAAAATATAAAAAGGCTTTTCTAAAATAGAAGTGTTGCCTACTAAGAAAGAGAAAACCAAAGACACCAAAACACTGACCTAGACACTCCCCATGTTCAGATGCACAGTGTAGGACAGGATGGCTTTAAGGGACAACTGAGAAGCACTGCAGACTTACCTGAAGCTTGCAAATTTTTCTATCAAACAGAACACTGCAGCTTGTTGTTGAAAGTTACAAATGTTTCTCTGGAAACCAGCAGCAGCTCCAGGCTCCTGTTTGCTGAGTCCCAGGGTCAGAGGAGGAGCAGGAGCCACTACAGACTGAAAGCAGAAATTCTGTCCTAGGTTGCCTTCCAACTGAGCTGTTCCAGAATGAACTTTAATATTTAAGCCTTTTTCCTTGACTTCTCCTCTCAACTCCTGGCTCTGGTCTCTTGGCTTTTGTTATTGATTTCCTCCTCTAGGACGGTAATCTTGTAAGCAGGTTATCCTCTTTCCATCTCTGCAGTGGTGTGGACTGGAGACAAAAGAGTCACATGAGGAGTGTGTTTTTGAAAATATTACTAGAGGCCACACCTGAAAGTTGTGACTCTGTTAGTCTAAGAAAAGGCACCAGAACTTGAATGATACATTGTAGCAAAACATCAAAGATTTCTCAAAATGGACATCTTACAGTTTTAGGAAAGTAATGTACATAGTTACCAATGCCGATTGCTCTAAAGAACAAGGTGCTTTATAAGTGATTAAAGTTGTGCTCACTGAAGCAGCCCATATAATAAAATTGGAACAATACTGAAATTAGTCTGGCCCCTTCAAAAGGCTGACACACAAATTCACGAAGTGTTATATATTTTTTGAGAGTAGGTAAGAAAGCAAATCACAAGATAGAAGAAAAAATTTGAAAATATTGTCTTCCAGAGATAACCCACATTTTAGTCCCTCTTCCTGCTGTTTTTCATTTCATATTATATCCACGGATGCACATAACGTGGTATATAGGAATTGGGCATAGTGCCTTGGGAAAGTACCTTGATAGTTCATGAAGGTGATACTGGATATTCAAAATATAGATGGGAGAATTATAATACCATATTGAAACTTCTTAGTAAACACAAAGCATTCATTCACATAACTTGATTAGTCTTTACCAAACACTTCATTAAGAAAAAAGCTTCAGCTATTGACACAAAGCACAGCCCGAGAGGTAGAGACTTCTGGACCACCAACCATGTTGTACTGGTGGGGAAGGACACCCAGAAATCTGCCTACTGCCACATTGGTCCAGTGGGCCATACATACATAGAGGCCTGCCTGCCACCCCTACACAACACTGAAAGAGGAGGTCACCCTGAGGCTGATCAGCCATATGGCCTGCCTGCAAACAGAACCACCAGAATGTGAAAGTATGTGGTGGACTGTGGGGCCTGGGTACTGTGGAACTAGGAGGAGCCGGGCCAGAGCAGGAGTGGTATTGAGTTGTGTCCAATGCCAGAAATTTTATCTCAAGAGCAGTAGGAAGTGAGGATCACGCCAGCTGCCGTGGGGTCTGCATGTCCTGGTGCATGTAAACCTGTGCCCAGGACCTTTGTGGCTACTAGAAAAGATTGCTTAATCACAACCAGATTAAACTTCCCCTTTCCTTACGAGGTCATATCCAACAAGCTGCTGGAATTCCACTTCATGTGAATAAGGCACTCCCAGCACCTCAGGCCTAGAAGATAATGAATGCTCACACCCCAAAACCTCTACTCACTCCCTAAAGGTTTAAATAGCCTTTGTTTCCCCCAATTAAGGGAGCTTCTCAATGAACCCTGCCTCCAGAGAATCTGTTCTCACAAACACACTCAACACTGGAGGTCTCCATCACCTCCAGCCACTCCTGCCTCCCACTTCCTCCCTGAGGGCTATGCTGGCTACAGTCACTGCCATGCTGGGAAGGGTGGGCTAAAGCAGAGCCCAAACAACAGTGGGCTGATACAAAAGAGAAGCTGATCTTAGCCATTCTGACTGGTATGAGATGGAATCTCACGGTTGTATTGATTTGAATGTCCTTGATGACTAAGGTGTTGAACATTTCTTTATGTGCTTCTCAGCCATTCCAGTTTCCTCAGTTGAGAATTCTTTGTTTAGCTCTGTATCCCATTTTTAATAGGGTTATTTGGTTGTCTGGAGTCTAATTTCTTGAGTTCTTTGTATATATTAGATATTAGCTCTCTATCAGATGTAGGATTGGTAAAGATCTTTTCCCAATCTATTGGTTGCCATTTTGTCCTATTGACAGTGTCCTTTGCTTTACAGAAGCTTTGCAATTTTATAAGATCCCATTTGTCAATTCTTGATCTTAGAGCATAAGCCATTGGTGTACTGTTCAGGAACTTTTCCCCTGTGCCCAAGTATTCAAGGCTGTTCTCTACTTTCTCTTCTATTAGTTTCAGTGTATCTGGTTTTATGTGAAGGTCCTTTATCTACTTGGACTTGAGATTTGTACAAGAAAATAAGAATGGATTGATTTGCATTCTTCTACATGCTGACCTCCAGTTGAACCAGCACCATTTGTTGAAAATGCTGTCTATTTTCCACTGGATGGTTTTAGCTCCTTTGTCAAAGGTCAAGTGACCATAGGCATGGGGGTTCATTTCGGGTCTTCAGTTCTATTCCATTGATCTTCTTTCCTGTCTCTGTACCAATAGCATGCAGTTTTTATCACTATTGCTCTGTAGTACAGCTTGAGGTCAGGGATGATGATTCCCCCAGAAGTTCTTTTATTTTTGAGAATAGTTTTCGCTATCCTGTTTTTATTTTTGTTTTTGTTTTTGTTTTTCCAAATAAATTTGAGAATTGGTTTTTCTATCTCTGTGAAGAATTGGGTTGGAATTTTGATGGGGATTGCATTGAATCTATAGATTGCTCTCGGCAAGATGGCCATTTTTACTATATTAATCCTTCCAATCCATGAGCATGGGAGATCTTTCCATCTTCTGCGATCTTCTTCTATTTGTTTCTTCAGAGACTTGAAGTTCTGATAGCAGATGCTGATGATGATGTGGAGAAAGAGGAACATTCCTCCATTGTTGGTGGGATTGCAAGCTAGTACAACCACTATGGAAAGCAGTCTAGCAGTTCCTCAGAAAGTTGAACATAGTATTACCTGAGGACCCAGCTATACCACTGCTGGGCATATACCCAAAAGATGCTCCAACATACAACAGGGACACATGCTCCACTATGTTCATAGCGGCCTTATTTATAATAGCCAGAAGCTGGAAAGAACCCCCTTCAACAGAGGAATGGATACAGAAAATATGGTACATTTACACAATGGAGTATTACTCGGCTATTAAAAACAATGATTTTGTGAAATTCTTAGGCAAATGGATGGAACTGGAAAATATCCTGAGTGAGGTAATCCAATCACAAAAGAACACACATGGTATGCACTCACTGATAAGTATTAGACCAAAAGCTCACAATACCTAAGATACAACTCACAGACCGGATGAAGCTTATAAAGAAGGAAGTGTGGGTGCTTTGATCCTTCTTGGAAGGAGTAACAAAATACTCATGGAAACAAATATGGAGACAAAGTGTGGAGCAGAGATTGAAGGAGAGGCTATCTGGAGACTGCCCAACCTGGGTGTTCATCCCATGTGCAGTCAGCAAAGACAGACATTGTTGTGCGTGCCAGGAAGTGCATGCTGACAGGAGCCTGATATAGCTGTCTCCTTAGAGGCTCTGCCAGAGCCTGACATATACAGAGGCAGATGCTGGCAGCCAACCATTGAACTGATCATGGGGTTCCCAATGGAGGAGTTAGAGAGAACACTTGAAGTAGCTGAAGGGGTTTGCGTCCCCATGGGGAGAGCAACAATTCCAATCAATCAGAGCTCTCAGGGTCTAAACTACCAGCCTGGAAGCACATAGGGAGGGACCACTGGCTCCAGCTGTACATGTAGGGGAGAGTGGCCTTGTTGGGCATAGGTGGGAGAGGAGGTCCTTGGTCAGGTGAAGGCTGGATGCCCCAGTGTGGGGGAATTTGAGGTGGGGAGGTGGGAGTTGGTGTGTGGGTGGGGGCACACCCTCACAGAAGCAGAAGGAGAGGGTGGAATAGGGGATTTCTGAGTGGGGGAAATGGGGAAAGGGGATAACATCTGAAATGTAAATAAATAAAATATCCAATAGAAAAATAAAAGGAAAAAGAGAGAGAAGCAGAACAGTTTGAGCATTATGAAGAAAGATGGAACTGGAGACCTAAGAGTGGAGAGAAATAACCTGTTGTGAGTAGCCAGCCCCTCTACCTGAGGCCATGGTAAACTCTCAGCCCAAGCTGCCTCTGAAGGCCATGTTTAGGTTAGCCAGAGAGACCATATGGAGGTCCAAGGGCTGTGTAGAACCAGCCCCACTACTACTGAACATGGCACTCTGAAGAGTTGGCCCGTTCTCTCATTGGTTGCAATACTCAGGAGAGTAGAGAGCAGGCACTGTGCCTCACCTGGACAGCACAGTGGAGGTGACCCTGGTGGGAGAGAGTGTGAGAGAGCTGACCCCACCATTTGTCTGCTGTGGGGTGGCATAAACACAGAGGCCCTAGTGGCAGGGGTGTGAGTGTACCAGTCTAGAGGATGAAAGAAAGGGAGAGCTGGCCCAGCCACTTGTCTGCCACGAGGTGACATGGGTGCGGGTGTGATGTCCTCTCCCCATTCCCTTGTTACCTACAGCAGTCTGGAGAGCTGGCCCCAAGGACATGAGAGCATATAAATTGTCCCTGCCCCTCACCAGCAGCAGCACTTGGCAGTGTGTGTGCTGTGTGCACAATGGAGTTGGCTCTGGAGGTCTGGGTAAGCTGGACCCAAGGGCATGAAAACTGGAGGACTGATCCTAGCTTCTGCCCATGGTAGCATTAGGTGGCCTAGCCAGAGCAGTGTTGGAGACTTTGAGGGAGAGCCAGAGGGCTGACCAGCTCAGCTACCACCCAGCCCCAGATCCAGGGTTTTGACTTGGCCCACTGAAGTAGAAGTTTCTGGATATGTCATGTGATGTAGACTCATGTGGTGTTTTGCTGAGGCAAGACACATGGGAGGACACATGATGTTTGGAGAGAGTATAAACAGGACTCAATAGACAGTGGTGGAGCGCTTGCATAGCCAGCCTTGCGACACTTCCTTGGGCTCAAGTCTGTGGATCTTAAATTTGTTGAGAGAGGCACAGCAGAGAATTTCTCCTGTCATCTGGGATGATTCTAGTAGTTCCCACTGACTAGTGCCTGGCAGTTTCTGCTGGCTTGTGCCACTGCTGCTGATTCGTGTTTGGTATCCTGACACTACTGAATTGGATTGATGGAATCACCTCAAAGAACTACTTCTAAATGGGTCCACATCCCCTTGTTCTATGCCTTTCCCCCCCTACTTTTGTACAGTGGGCTGGAATGGGGGGTGGTGTTGAAGCATTTGAAAACCTGTATTAAAAGTAGGATTTTAAAAAAAATCTATGCCTAGGGCTGGCGAGATGGTTCACTGGGTAAGAGCTGAAGTGGTTAAGTGGCTTCCAGGATGAGATGGTTTTTATGCTTTGTTTTGATTTGTGTGTGTGTATGTGTGTGTGTGTGTGTGTGTGTGTGTGTGTGTGTTTATTTGGTGGGGAAGGTTTTGAGGGTGGAGGGAGGATACAAGGGGTTGGGGAAATGAGTGGGGTAAATGATATGAAACTCACAAAGAATCAATAAAAAGATTTTTTAAATGATTAAAGTTTCTTCTATATTAAGATTATATACTAGCAATGATGTTTTTCACAAGTATGTTAGCTTTATTTTCATCCTAGGTTACATTACATTTCCTAGCCTGCCTGGCAACTACGTGGAGCAATGTAACCAAGAACCTTGTGCAAAAGGCCTGGGTCCTTCGGGGGTAACAGTTATTAACAGAATACCTTAGAATAGGTAATTTGTGAGTAATAGAAAATTATTTCTCACAATTCTGGAATCTCAGAAATCCAAGATCAGGCAGAGCACATGTGGTGTCTGATGGCAGTGGTCTCTCTGCTCTGTAAGTGGCACTGTATCACTGCTCTCACCAGTCATAAGTCTACCAATGTCTGGTAATAGGCACAGGTCATGTGTTAAATATGTCTCACAGTCCTCTTCTGTGACTCCCCTCACTAAAATCATGTTTAATGCTTTTCTTATGGCAGTGTTTCTCAAAACTCTTCCAGTCTTTACTCATTGTGCAGTTACAGCTACTTTTACTTCTTTGGGTGTTAGTTCTTGTATTTTCTACCTACTGAAGAGGTATCAGTTTCTGTCACTGTTTTTGCTATTGGAATACAATACCCTAGAACAAGGTTTTCATGAACTATGTGAATGTGTAGCTAGGAGGCTAGGAAGTCTAAGATCATGGTGCTGGCAGAGTCAGTGGCTGGTAATGGTTCCTCTCTGCTCCACAGATGGCATCTTGTCTGTCACTCTCATGAAGCAGCTCCCCTCAGCTCAATCTCTCTGCCCCTTCTTACCTTCCAACAGTTTACCAGAATAGTTCGTTAATTTTTTTCACTCATTGGTCTGATTCCTGTTTTCTTATACCATGTGAAATTGATATCCGTGTTCTTTTATCCCTGAAATCATTTGGAGCAATACAGTGAAAAGTTTGGCTTTATTTAGATGTTTAAAATTATCACTAGAAGTCAGCAAACATAAAAATTACTCATTAATGTTATATCATATAACTTTGTGTGCTTTTACTTGGTCAGTGAGATGTTTAAAGCTTAAAAGGTTCATATGCTGGAGGTTTTGCTGCCAGCCATAAAGTTAATGCTATCAACTTGACAGGAACTAAAATTATCTAGAAAACAAACCCCACAGCAAGTCTGTGATGGCATTTCTAGACTGGGTTGAGATAGACAGACCTATCCTAATGTGAGTGGCATCCTTATACAGACTGGACTTTTGGACAGAGCATCAGCATTAATCTCTCTCTGCTTCCCGACTGCAGTCATGTGACCAGTTGATTCAAGTTCTTGATGCCGTGGCTTTTCATGGACTGCATCCTTAAACCATGTGCCAAAATCAAGTCAAAATTAAGTTGATTTGTCAAATATTCTGTCACAGTAACTAAAGGGTAACCCATACAGAAAATTGGTATTGAGAAGTGAGGCCATTGCTCTAATAAAAATAACTGTGGTGTGGCCATGTGGCTTTTGGAACTTATTGACAGAAGGAAGTAGTAAAGTTTAGAACTGCAAGGCTTTAAAAGCCCTAGGACACTGTGAGCAGAGCTTACTGAGTTTTTCTGGTGGGAGTTTGGGAGACCAGATATGACAAAGAAATGCCCACTATGGAAGTCTGCCTCATGACATTTCAGAAGAGAACAAGGGCTCTTTGGCGACCTTAGCTAGAGTTATATATAGAGAGAGAGTTAATGAGTGATATATTTGGCAAAGAATCTGTTTGCATTCTGCCCTTGTCCTGAGAACTTCCATGAAGCTCAATTAAAAGGTAATGAACTAATTTGTTTTTAAAGGGGAAATCTCAAGAGAAGATTAGCATTCAGGCTGTGTTATGATTTCTGCTCACTGCTCTTTATTCAGCTCTACAGCATAAGAGCAAGAAGTAGAACAGAAGGCTGGATGAGGTAGGTGGGGGAAGGCTGTTTGCTGGAGAAGGAAGTTTAAGGGGGCAGACAGGGATGGTATTGAAAATCAAGAATGATAGTTAGATTAGTACTGTTGAATGGAAATCTTTACTGTGCTTACACAATAGCAAAGATATGGACCTCATCCACCAAAGGATTTGCTTTCTGAGAATCCAAACTTATCTGAAGGAAAAAAAACTAAGTTGAGAATGTAACGGAAGGTATTATCTTCACAGAAACAACATCCCAGGGAAGTGTTTCTCCATGATCAACCTGAAAAGCAAAAGGCAGATGCAACTGTGTTTTAAGGAGACTAGACTACACCTTGAGTTAGCAACAGAACATGACAATACTATCCATTTGATACTTGTTTCATAGGCATAAAAGAAGCAAAAAGAAAAATGAGGAAGGGGAATTCCTGAATGCCTATGTTAAGGTTTCACATGGGTTTATAAGGACAAATTAGATTCCTGTGAGAAGCACTAGGAGGGTATTTTTTATATGACTCTGAATGTGAAGTCCAAGCTGTAATAGAGACTACAAGATATCAGAGAAACCATGGTCTGAGGTCAGTCATCAAGTGAATGGATTGTTGCCTTAAGAGAGATGCAATGTGTGCCACAAAAGACTGCCAAGGTGGAGCAGAAAAGCTACTGAAGTTCTTTTGGAAAGCTACAGACTGGGTGTGGAACCATCTCAAGAGAAAGAAGTGTGTTACAACCAGCAAAGCTAAGAAGAGTGGAGATCTGAAGAGCACTTCAACATCAGATATGGAGATGCAGAATTTGGAGTTTTCCCTGTTGAGCTTTGGTCTTGCTTTGATAAAGTATTCCCTTACTGTGCTCTCTTTTGTCCATTTTGGAATGGCAATGCATGTTCTGGACCATTAAGTGTTGCAAGTACGTGACCTGCTTCTTTATTTTAAGTTTACCAGGAGTTACAATTAAACAATTTCCTTGAATCTGAGAAGAGACTTTAAATGTTGGACTTTTAAGCAGTCTTGAGTTCAACTAAACCAGCAGAGAAGAATGTGGTGGTTCGAATAAAAATGATCCCCATAGGCTTACACCTTTGAATACTTAGTCATCAGGAAGAATTAGGAGGTATGGCATTGTTGGAAGAAGCATGTCACTGGGAGTCAGCTTTAAGGTTTCAAAAGATCAAGGCAGGCCATTCTCTTCCTGCTGCCTATGGATCTGGAGGTAGAACTCTCAGCTACTTCTCCAGTTACATGCCTGTGAGCCATGATGCACCCCACCATGATTATAATGAACTAAACCTCTGAAAGTGTAAGCATGCCCCAATTATGTGCTTTCTTTTCATAAGAATTTCTGCATCCCTCCTCCACTAGAGGCCACTCCAGCATCCAGAACTCCAGGTAAGCACCACACTCATGGATTACCAACATTTTCACAGATCCTGCCCAGCCTACCCTCAACAGCTCCTCCTCTCCTCACCATATCTCATCCCACACCTCCAACAGAAATCCTCTTCTCCACCAGAGGCCGCTCTCTCGATCCCAGATCCCTAGGTAAACACCCACTCTATGCACCCATGGACCATCAGCACTACAACAGAGCTCACCCAACCTTCCATCAACAGCCCCTTCTCTCTTCATCACTGTATCTGGATCATGACTCTGGTGAAATGCCCCTGCTCCACTAGAGGCCATACAGACATCCAGAGCCCTAGAGTATCCCCTGCTAGGCCACAGGACACACCAGCCTCCAGAACTCCAGCCATCAACTTGGGTAAAGACCCTCTACTTAACTACAGAGCACTCTAGCCCAAAGACCAGAGAGGAAACAGAAACCAAGGAACAAAACACCCATTCAACAAAGACAAACTCAGCAATCAGCACCTAAACCTATAATTACCCCAAACCCAGATGCCTAGACACCAGTATAAGAACATAATCAACAACAGCCAGGGAAATATGGCACCACCAAAGTTCAGCCATTCTATTACAGCAAGTTCTGAACATTATAACACAGCAGATACACAAGGAAATGACCTTAAACCCAACTTTAAAGATAATAGAGGTCCTTAAAAATGAAATGAATAAATCCCTTAATGAAAGCCAAGAAAAAACAAACAGTTGAAGGAAACAATAAAGTTGTTTAAAACTTGAAAATGGAAATAGAAGCAATAAAGAAAACACCAACTGAGGGAATCCTGGAGATGGAAAATCTAGGTAAACAAACAGAAACTATAGACACAAACATCACTAACAGAATGCAAGAGATGGACAAGAGACTCTCAGGTATAGAAACATACAATAGAAGAAATTGATACATTGGCCAAAGAAAATGTTAAATCTAAGAAAATTCCTGACACAAAACATCCAGGAAATCTAGGTCACTACTGTAGCTGCTGGTTCTCATGCTAGTTATGTTACCTAAAAACCTGTTTGCAGTGTCCTGCAGGAAGGACTAAAGGAAACCTGTCCCATTACTGGTCAATAAAGTTACTGGTGGCCAATGATTGGGCAGAAAGACAGGCAGCACTTTTAAGATTCCCTGGAAGAGACTGAGAAAGGAGGAAGAGGGAATTTGGCCATGATGAGGGCGTAGGAGACAGACCACACCAGAAAGGTCCAGGAGCGAAAGAGAGAGAGAGAGAGAGAGAGAGAGAGAGAGAGAGAGAGAGAGAGAGA